GGAATAGACCTAGTGAGCTTGAGGGAGGCGTTCTCTGCGCCCTCAAGCTGGCTGCCCCCATCTGCAAGGGAGGGACCTTCCTGGTTGAGGCTGGAGGGAGCCTGAGGCAGCCCAGGATTAGGGTGGGAGGGGTGATGAGGTTTAGATGATCCAGCAGACAAGCAGGACACTAGAGCAGTTTCATCCCTAGAAGCAGTTTGTCCAACCTGTTACAGATCTCCTGTACTGGCGATCCCAGGACTGCTGTTTGCTGTGACTCCTGTTGTTTGTGGGGCCACGTGTCATTGCAGGGGTATTCCCTGAGCCTTAGGAAGGGATATGGAAGCTTCCTTACTATGGAAGCTGTTCCCTCCTCTGCTTCCTATGGCAGCAGGGGCCCAAGGACAGCATTACTTCCCTGGCACTGATGCCTTGGGTATTTAATGACTGTAGGCTGTGCTCTGCTGGAGATCTTGGAGTATCAGATAGATGTTGATGGATGCATCTCCCTCCCCGCTGGAGATGAGAAAACAATGTTCTCACCCGCTTGCTCAAGGGAGCAGCTGCAGGGGGGCGGGTGGTGCACAGGCACGGAGCTGGAGAGCTTACGTGTGCCCCTGCCTTCAGGCTTTAAGCAGCATCGCCCTCCCTCCTGTGCTATGGTCTGCCTTTTGCAACTGCAGGTTTGGCTTAAATGAGCAGGGCAGGGGTGACTTCCCAGGTTCCCAACACTAAGTGTGTTTGGGACAGAGGTGGAAAGCTGCGCTGGAAGGCCATAAAACTGTGCACGTGTAAAAATCACCCCCTTCTGGGGAAGAGAGCAGGGCCTAGGAGGCACAGGGTTGCCCGGGTTGGAGCACTGGACTTGCCACCAGGTGGGACATCGTGTCCTTCACGGACTGTGCAGGGAACACAGGACTCCCAGTGACTGCAGTCGGACACGAGATCAGTACGGTGTTGTTGCCAGCTTGTCACTTCATCACGTACAGCATAAGAGCTGGAAATGCCAGTTCCTTGTTGCCAGGGTTGCAGTGCTTCCTTGAGGACAGGGCACCCTTGCTCCTGGCCAAGAACTGTCTGTTGTACTGTTAATGCTGTGCCTGCGGGTTACAGGCGTGTCTAACGTATGTGCGTGTGTCCGCCAGGCCCTGGATTACTGTCACAGCATGGGGATCATGCACAGGGATGTCAAACCCCACAACGTCATGATAGACCACCAACAGAAAAAGGTACTGTGGCTCCAGGGCTTACAAGCAGGGTTTTTCCAGGGAAACTTGAAACTCCGTAGCCTAGGCAGCTGTACCCTGCTGTACCCTTAACCCTTCTTTGCCAGCTCCCCTCTGGTCATGCCTGCATCAGGAGATGGCCAAAGTCCCACTGGGGAGCACCGTGGGTATTTGCACCTAGGGAGCCTAAGCTCCTCCTGAAGTACAGCCCGCTTGTCCTGCAGTGGCTTCCTCACCTTTGGGGTGTGCTAAACAGATCACAGGAGATGTTTTTCCCAGCTCGCTACCATGGAAATGGGCAGCACAGGGAACTCCCCACCCTGTCATGGTACTCGTACCTCATCGGGTGCTGTGTGTGCCTCTTTCCCCAGGGACCTGGGGTTTCCAGCAGCAAATTAGTTGCTGGTCCTCAGGTCCCTCCCTGTCAATCAGCGGTGGCTGTACAGGCAAGGCAGGGTTTATAAGGAGGGGGAAATCTCCTACTAGACCCACTGTCCTCCAGTAACATGGCAGGTTGTCCATCCTGCGGCTGTGGAGGAGATGTGGCCCTGCGGGATGTAGTGAGCTCCCTCCTACCATTTCCTGCTCTCAGCCCCCAGTTAAAATCAATGCTGCCTTCAGCCCAGCCCCTCTAAACAGCAGAATAAATCAGCTGGCTTTTGCCCCTTCCCCGGTACGCTGTGGCTGGGGGTGCTGGTGGGGAGCCAGTAGCCCAGCAGTAGCAGTGTGCTGGGACTCAGGAGGCAGAGGAGCTCTCTAAGCTGGGCTTTGCCCCACCAGCTGACCAGAGCACTGCTGAAAGCATCTCCTGTCCTCAGAGCACCTCCCTGCATCCTGGGCTCCACGCTGGCATCACAGGATTGAGAGGTTTGGCCAATGTGGCTTCACCTAACTTGGCTTCACCTAACCAGCTTATACCGAGGCGCCTGACTCTGTGTCTCCTTATTGCATGTTCAGCTGCGGCTCATAGACTGGGGTCTGGCCGAATTCTACCATCCAGCTCAGGAATACAATGTCCGTGTGGCCTCTAGGTACTTCAAAGGACCGGAGCTCCTTGTGGACTACCAAGTAAGAGTCTGCCTCCTCCTTGCTAGCCAGCGATACCCCTTGTAGTTACCCTCTGGCCGCCCTTGGGTTGCCTGGTTTTGCCTGCCAGGGCATTGCCTGGGTTGGAAAGAGGCTGGTTGTGCAGTGAAAAGGTGGAGGCTGCCTGTGCAGCTGGGGAACCGGGCCATGGTGAGCATGCCTTTTCTGACAGCTTCTCCTTTTTCCCCTCAGATGTATGACTACAGCTTAGACATGTGGAGCTTAGGCTGCATGCTGGCAAGCATGATCTTCCGAAAGGAGCCCTTCTTCCACGGCCAGGACAATTATGACCAAGTAAAGACTTTACTACCGAGCTTATTTCATGAGACATCTGTCACTGCCTCATCTCTGTGTGTATGGTGGGGGGGCTCTGGGGATCAGACCACCAGGCTGGGAGGGTGTTGCTACGTGCTTAGTTAAGCCATCTGGGATTATGCTTCGCTGCCTTGTCTAGGAGACTTGTTTTCTGCACACGTTGCAAAAACAAGTTTCAAGGGAGACACTCCTTCCTTCCTTCCATCTGGGATGTTTCCAGAAGGAGAGCTCCTAGATCTGGGCAGCTCTGCCTCTGCGAAAGAGCAGTGGCCTGCTCTTCTGCTCGCTCTCAACATGCCTTTTGTTCCAGCTGGTTCGCATCGCAAAGGTCCTGGGCACAGATGAGCTGTATGGGTATCTCAAGAAGTACCACATAGAACTGGACCCGCACTTCAATGATATCCTGGGCCAGTAAGTGGAGAAGTGAAATGCAGCCTTTTCCCCTTGTAACATAGAGAGGGAGATAAACTCATGTCCGTCCCCTTGAAGGACTCTCAGCAAAGGCCTGCTTTGATCTTCTGGGTTGCAGTGCTGCTTGCAGGCCTCCCGTCTGGCTGCCCATGCCATCTCAGGAGGCCACTGAAATGTAGGCTCCTTCTTTTTGCCTCTCCCATGATCCACGAGCCGTCCCCTCTTTCTTCCTCCTTCTGCTTGTTGACATCCTAGGAGTGGAGATGAGACCTTGGAGTTGAGTGTGGGCTGAGGGGCTCAAAATTTCCCAGTGGAGACTTCCGAAAAGGGCAAGAGGTGGATGGGGTAGCAAGGACAGCTTCTGTGGGGCTGGCTGCAAGGCAGAGCCCTTCTGGTCCCAACGGTGTCACCCTGCCTCTCCGTGCTGTTGTCTACTCCCTGCAGACAGAAGGGAAGGTGTAATATTGTGCCTTTCCCAGGCATGGGACATCCACACAATTGTGTACCGACAGAAGAGGGGGTTCCCCCTTCGGCGAGTGCTTGCTGAGCGTGGCCTGTGTGAGGAGGAGCTGTAGGCAGTGTCCACCGCAGCCATCTTCTCTCAGACATGCAGAATGGCAGGCAATTCCCTGGGACCTCCGGGTCCTGCCGTGCTGGTAAGCACTGGGCAGTGACAGCTTGGTCCCTTTGCAGGCATTCCCGGAAGCGCTGGGAGAACTTCATCCACAGCGAGAACAGACACCTGGTCAGTCCCGAAGTCCTGGACCTCCTGGACAAGCTCCTGCGATATGACCATCAACAGAGGCTGACTGCCAAGGAGGCGATGGAGCACCCCTATTTCTGTGAGTCTGTGGAGAAGGTGGGGCCAGCCGGGGGGCGAAAGAGGGGTCTTGGGCTGTAGGGGCAAATTTTGGCTCCCCACTCTGCCAAGTTTTTGCTCCCTGCCTTAGCAACTTCTCTGGAAGGGTTTGCCAGGGTGGAGCTTCCGCTTTATTAAATGCTGTTTCCCCTTCCTGCCTGGTCCATGTCTCCTGCAGATCCCGTGGTGAAGGAGCAGTCCCAGCCCAGCTCAGAAAACGCTGTGCTCTCCAGTGGCCTGACAACAGCACGATGAAGACTGGAAAACGACGGGTAATTCAAGATGTTTACAAATAAAAGAAAAACCTTCAGTCACACAGTGAAGGGAAAAGAACCAAGGACCCCCCCCTCCTTCCCCTCCCCTTTTTACTCGGCAGAAATCTAACCTGGGGGGGGGTCATAAACCTCAGTTCCTCTCTGGTGGTTGTGGTTAATGTAACTCTAACCCTGTGGTACCAAAGCCCTGGGCAAATGGTCTTGCAAGAGCTAAACACGTAGTGATATCCCCAGGGCTCAACACAACTGATTCTGGTTCATATCCCTATGGATCCTTCTCTTCCTTCTCAGTCCAGCCTTCCCCACCATGCTGGTGGGGACAAATTGGTTGTTCCTCCATCAGCCCTTAGCATGCCTCTTTCTAAACATGCCTTTCTGACTGGGAGACTCCGGATGAACCAAATTCAGGCTGGGGGTCAGCAGGTGCAGCTCTCTTCTGAGGTCCATGTCCTACTGCTCACTCTGGGCCTGAATTTGGCCCTTGAATTCCAGTTTCAATCGCAAATGCCGGGGCAGTTGGGGGGAGGGGGGAGGCTCAACAACAAAAAAACAGCCCACGAACCCAGTGGCATCTCGGGATTGGTTTGGAGCATTAAAAGGAGGGCACTGGCCCGAGTTGCTGGGGAGAGGCGAGATCCCCCGTCTCGGTGTGTTTGACAAAGGCTCGCTCTGAGAAGAAACTAAATAGACCTGCTTAGGAAACTTGTGACTGTGGGGGCTGCTCTCGGGGCAGGAGGGGGGAGGGACCTTTCCAGACTTGCCCGCCGAGCTCAGGAAAGTCAGTGTTGCAAGGCTTCTTGTGATGGGTGTGCGACCACGGACCTCATGATATGGCTCCCATGAGAATCCATGCCGGACGCAGACTTGTGCCAGAGCATGGCTCTGGCGCGGTTCAGTCCATCGCCGCAGGATGGGAGGAGTGGAGAGGAGGCCGGGGAGGAGAGCACGGGGAGGAGGAAGGATCTGCAAGCGGCAGTGTGGTCCATCGGGGACACGGCTGAGCAGCTGCTGATCCAGGCCTGGGGTCCCACCTAGTGTTTTAACAAAGGCAGCCGTTTTTTGAATTCCAGGGTGCTGATCCTGTTTGCGGGGGGTGGGGGGTTTGTCTTGTGGGTTCTTTCATCAGATCCCTCGATGGCTTTATAGCCCCACAATTCACAGTTGCCTCCTCTACTTGTTCTGTGTGTAACTTCATCAAGTGGTTCTGGTGACGTTCAAACCTAGAAGCTGGAGATAGTGTTTTCCCACCAGCACCTAAACACAGAATTTCCTTCTGCGGCATTGTCGAAATAGTTAATTTTTTATAAGGTTGCAATGTTTCTATTTGAAACATCTGTTTACATTCCATATTCCAATAAAGTTCTATTGGCATTGATAGCAGGTCAATCCATTTGTATAATTCACTGAAACCAATAAATATCTCTACAGCTGAGCGTCTGCTGTCTGCAATCTATGGCATAGCCGGAAAGCGAAGGCCGAAGGCTCTGCTGCCTCCAGGAGGCCAGTGTGGCTCTTCCAGCCCCTCCTCTGCAAGTGGTTTGGGGTCTCCCAGTCTTTGCTTGCAGTCCTTCATGCTGTTGGCACTGAGAGTTTCCTCAGGGCTGCGGAGGAGGTGCAAGGTTCAGGTACAGCGTGGCCCTTAGTTGCGGCACCTGGGACTCAAGTGGCCAGTGCTGGAGGTGGTGTTCCCTGTCTGCCTGTTACCTGTCTGCTCGGACACAAAGTCACCCGTGCGTGGCTGGAAGCTGGGGGTCCTCTTTTTGTGCCCCCAGGTTGTCTCCTCTCCACTTGGGTGGATGCTTTTTCTCGGGATGTGCTGGGCAGGGAGAAGCTCTTCTCCTGCCATGGGGTGTGGCGAGCACGTCAGCTCTGTCAGTGTCCAGGCTGCTGACTGTAACCCCCCTGTGGATGCTGCTGGGGGCTTTGAGCCTTCCCAGCCCTCTGTCCTTCCATTGGCCTGGCCTGAGAGGCGGGGTGGGCTCTTGTGCTCTTAAGCTGTGCTGGTACCAGTCTGGGGTTTGAGCTGATTTTAAACATGTGGGACTGCTCCATGGGGAAGAGGCCAGAGTGGATGTTTCTCATGGCCTGTCCAAGCTGCTGTGGGGGAAACTTGCCCATTTTCCAGCTCTTGCGTGTTGGCATTCCCAGAAAGCCAAAGTAGAAGAGGCATGGGGGAAAAGAATCCCCACCCCAACTCAAGGGTAGGGTGGGCTCTGACAGATTCCTCCCAGGGGGAATCGTGGCAGCTGAGCAAGCACAGCCTGGGAGTGAGGAGGATGTGGAGTCTCCTGATCCTGGGGCAGCGTGGATGCTTGGCTGCAGCTCAGGCCAATTCCTCTCTGCACCCGTTGGCTGTTCTGGCACTCGGAGCAGGAAACCCCGCTCTCCCCTGGACTGCAGCAGGGCACCCCCCTGCCCGCAGGGACAGCCGGGAGCTGGAGGGGGCATGGTCTTATCCTCAGGGAGGATGGGGAGCGTGCGTCTTCATACGCTTTCTCCTGGAGAAAGTTGGGAGAGTCCTGGTGCATGTCCTGGCCTTTCAGCTGGCCTGGCCCAGCTTGCCAACAGAGGTAGAGCGTGGGTTCGGCCAAGTGCTTTGTGAGAGGAAAGGCTCAAAACCAGAACCATGGGAGCTGTTGAGGGATGCGGTAGGAGAGGGCTGCGGTAACCGACCTACCCAGCTCCTGCGTGCCCGGTTGAGGGGCGGGTGAGGGGTGGGAGGGGGCCTAACACAGGAGGTTGGGAAGGAAAATAGTCTAGACTTATGTTCGGCTGCCCGTGAAAGCACTGCTTTGCTGGATGGCGTCTCTACCTTGCCTTGCTGGGCCCTGCCTTCCCCTCCACCCCTCCACCCCTTCTAAAGGTGTCTGAGGGGCTGGGGGGCGCAGGGCAGCAGGATGTGAGCCCAGCCACCTCCCCGTCAGCTGGGCCAGAGGAGCTCGGTGCCAAGCTGGTGGGGCCCCGTGGCTCTCAATTCCCTCCTCCCATCTCTCCCCAGGTCCGATGGGGAATTGCTCCCAATTTTCCATAAGCAGAATGAGAACCAAATCAAACATCCTGTTGGTGGATGTAGAGGGACGGCAAGCAGACCGCGTGGCGTGGGCAGGGCTGAGAGCGGGGCAGTGCGCCTGGCTGGACGGCACACACCTCTGACCGTGGCCCTTCCCTCTGAGCATAAGAGGTTCTTCTGCCTTTGGTTCTTTGTGGAGCTCTTCCTGACCTAGAAAGTGTGGAAGTGGGAAGGGTGTGCAGAGCAGTCGCTGGTCAGTTGTTCCTTCCTCCGTTCTGGCTGTTCCCCCCAACCTCTGGTGGACCACAGTCAGCTGGCTCACGCCTGTCTCTGCTAGGGCAGGGGGGTGGCAGGAGATGTCATATCACGATGGACAGTTCTATGTTATAATGAAAAGAAATATTGTTGAATAAAAGGTTTAAAAGAAGCATATTCAGAGGAGTATTGAGTGCAGAGGGAGCTGTGGGGCAGGACTGGCCATGCTGGAGGACACTGGCAGCCTGAGCCGTCCCCCATGCCCAGCTAGGACAGGCTGGGTGGGGAGAGCAGGGACTGTACAAACCCACTGTGGGCAGAGGTAGAGTAGCCACCGCTCCCTTTGGGGGTGTCCCTCCATAGGCCCCCACACTCTTCTGAAGGTGTCTGCCTGGGGGGCTGGCCCAGGTGCTAATGCTGGGACCTGCTTCTCCCAGCCTGTGGGGCTTGGGCATGGCTTTGCACCCCAGGAGCTCACATCTCTTCCTCTTTCTTGGGCTGAGATCCTCCTCCTCCTCCCTGCTGCAAAGCCCTGAGCTTGGGGCTCCTGCCCAGGGGCCTCTGCACTGCAGGAGTTCCCTACAGACATGGTTCTTCACCAGCAGCTCTTGGGCAAGTCTGGCTGCAATGCTGGTGGTTGACCAAGCTCTGCTCTGTCCTAGATGTTAACAGACCACTTGAAACTCTGGTCTAAAAACCTCTAGCAGGACTTTGTGACTGTACGTGGTCATTTCTCTTCCCTTGTCCCATTCATTCGCTGCCCATGTGTTTCTTCCTACACAGTTTTTTTTCCCTGTGTTGAAGCTGCCCAGGCTCCAGGTTTCTCCTGACTGGGACAGACCTGGTGCCGGCTCCCAGGGACAGGAGATGGGGTAAGGTTTGCCGTGGGCTCCTGCCAGCACGGAACCACATGGTGCTGCCCTCGCCCAGCCCCAGGCAGTGGCCAAAGTGCAAATGCCGGAGCGAGTCCTTGCACAAAGGCTGTGAGTGGTTCAGGTGGAAATCTGCTGACACTGTCCTCATGCGTCACACCCAGAGATGTGCCGATGCGGGGCCAGATGCAGACATGTACACCAGGTAAGTTCAGGCTCCAGGTGTGATAAGGTAGGGGGCATGGTCCATTGCTGAGGCATGGTGCAATGACAGGCCTGTTGCACCCAGGACTCTGCCGATCTCTGGTGCTGAAATTTGGCGAGACTTTTTGGGGCTGGTGCAGATCTGGCCAGTGGTGAGAACCTGTTCCTGCAGGCAAGAGCCCGTGGTGGAGTCCCCCCGAGGTCCACACATGCTGGGCAGAAGCAACACTGAGAGCACACCCCAAGCTGAGGTCCCTGTGGCACATCCAAGCGCTGTTGCTACCTCATCCATCCCTCCCCTGAGGCTGCTGGGGCATCCTCCCCATTCTCACAGCCCAGCTCTTCTCCCAGCCAACAGCTTGGCTCTAGAGGACACTCTCAATGACTTTTTTTTTTAACTGTTGCTTGTCAGCAATGAACCCTTCTTGGCTGCCTGTGTTTTGTCTTTAGTTTGCCAAGCGTCAGAAGGGTTTTGCTCATTCTGGCCCCTTGCTCCACTGTGGCATCCGCTGCACGGCTGCCCTTGGGGCAGCGTGTCCTGCTTCCTTGGCTTTCCCTGCCAAAGAGCTCCAGCACATGTTGGCACGGTCTCCTCCTGCGCCCACTGATGTTTACGCTCCCCCGTCCTCCTCTGATCCCTTGCTCGGCCGCAGCCCAGCTCCCTCCTCCTCCCTTTGCATTGCTTGGAGTTCAGCTGGAATGAGGTCCAAAGCCTTCGTCCAGGTCCTCTCAGCACCCAAAGCCCCTTTGCCCTTCCTTGCATGTGGTGGCTGTGGATATCCTACCCAATTCCGTTTTTGCTTTCCTCACTATACAGCTGCCCTGCACCCAGTCCTGCTCCTATACGAAAATCTGGGCTGGGAGAGCCATCCAGAGTCACCCAGACAAATCCCAGGATCTCTGGCTCCTTGCAGAAGTTGTTGCTTTGTTTGTGGTTTTGCCATGCAGCGGAGACTTTGGCCCACAATGGTAACAACTGAACCCAGCTCTGGTTTTACTGGCCCCAGTGCTGCCCTTTCAGCTGGCCCACTGGGTCGTGCCACCATCCCATGGCATCTGTGCTCCAGTGATGGCCCAAGCCCAGAGGGCGATGGCCCAGGGCAGGGTTTCCCTGGCTGTGATCCTGGACTGTGGGCTCCAAGGCAAGCACAGACTTGGTGATACTGGAGAGAGTGGCTGTGCTTTGCTCCAGTAACTGCACCCAGCAGTGTGAAACTCCGGAGCAGCGATGTTCCAGGAGCTTCCTGGAGCCCTCATTCCTCTGAATGCATTGGATTGCTGGGAATGCTGGAGGGCAGGAGATGCTTTGGCAAGCAGTTATTTCTGGAGCAGGCAACCTCTGCTCGCTTCTTGGGCCGGGTTATGCCCTTAGGATGGGCCTTTTCCTCCACCTGCTCTCCAAAATCCAGACCCTCTACAGCCTGGGAACTGGGACAGGGGTGATGTGACACGTTGACATCTTCCTAGCAGCCTTCCAGGTGGATAACGTCAACATGTGAGTCTCATTGAAATGCATCTCCCAGAGGCCTCCTCCCAAATGCCGCTCTTGACTCATTAATATGCGTTGACACCTCCGTTAACCTTACTCCACTCCTGCCCCTCCTTCAGCCTGCACGTGCTGGGGAAGGAGGAGGGGCAACGGGTGTTATTTTTCAGCAAGATTCATTGAGAAATAG